AGCCAGGTGTCACTTACACGATGACTAAAGCAGCATCCTGAGAGTAGTCCAACAGGATCTCATTCAACCTCACCTGCCGAAGGGACTGGGGCAAGGGAAAGCCAAGGTCACTTTCCATCTCAACAGCAGTAGTCCCCCTGCTGAGTCCAAATGGATACAGAATTACTCCCTAAAAATTCTAAATACTTCCCTTCCTTAGGAGGAAAGGGGTCCTCTTGGGAATTAAGCACTGGGTTTACCTCCTACAGGAAGCCTCCTTTGGTTTCTCTTTGCCTGACTTTATTAACATGACCAGTGGGAGAACAGGAAGAGGGGATATGTTACTGGGTTGAAATACCAGTTCTGAGGCTTCATAGCAGAGAGCCTTTTGTTCTCCTCTGTAAAACTGGTATGATAATGGCCTCTCCAGAGGATGCAGAGAGAATCCATCCTCCGTGGCCCATTGCCAAGCAGAGGGCCTGGCACATGGCAGACCCTTTGTGTAAAGACAACAGGACTCAGAGCAGGGACAGGCTCCACCTCCCCAGTGACAGACTTTGAGAGGACTTCCTTTGAACAGTAAAGTTATTCAGTATTTTCCAAAGAGCCAACTGGTGCCAAGTGAGGAAGTCTCCGAAGTCTTCTAGGTTGTGTGGGTCTGGGCTGGACCCGCCTTAGCCTAAGGCTATCTCCAAGCCACTCAGAAATGAGGTCAATTCTTAGGACCTGACCACCCCATGTAGAGAATGGAAAGTGAATTACCCAATCTAGGACTCTTGCTCCCTCACTGTGGACATTTTAGGTGACCAGTTCTTTGTTGTGAGAGCTGTCCTGTGCCTTGCAGGACATTTAGCAGTGTCCCTGATCTCTATACATTGCATTACAGTCATAACCTACATCCCCCAAATTGTGACCTCCAAAAACGTCTCTAGACGGTTGACAAATGTCTCTACCAGAGTAGGGGGGCAAATCACCCTAGTGGAGGGCCACTAGCATGGAATACAAAGAGGAAAAGAGATATTGACCCCCAGGGTGCCTGGCTCTCCTGCTCACGCTACCTAAAAAGACAGGTGGACAGTATCAGAAGAGCCTCCCGCCCACCACACACACAGCTCTCAGAGGCTTGATGATACTGTCAAGGAAACAGGCAGCCCTGGCATCTCATTGTATCTAGGGTAGGATTTATTGTCTGAGGGGAGATGGCTAGGCAGCTTGGTGGACCCACAGGAGTTCACCTGTCGCATGAACTCCTTCCATAAGGCATAGGGAAGTGAGGTGGGGAGAGGGAGGAAGCCCTTCAAGCAGCCCACCGACAGCCAGGGCCACTTATACTACTGGATGACCAGCCTCCTCACCAAGGACAGCATGGGGCTCCATAGTGGTTACTACTCAGCCTTTGCATGTGGCCCAAGGACACCTCAGAGACTGGGAGGGAAAAGCGGGGGCGGGGGGGGGTTGAGGATAGCTCAAGAAGCTTAGGATGGGGACACATGGTCTGGAACCCATGCCCTGACTAGACCCTTCCCTCTCTTGCACCTTGATTCTGTTCTTATTAATCTCCTCATCCGAGATCTTCCAGGGACAGTCCCGCCTCATCTCCGAAACAGTGGCTTCGTCTTTGAAGCCATCATTCAGACGGAAGGGTGCGATCATGTCCTCAAACCTCTTGGTGCTGAGCAGGAGAGAAAAGGTGAGGCCAGTGAGACTGTCCGATCTCCAGGAGAACCAGAGGTCTGGAGGGAGCTCAAGGTAGGGTTGCCTCCCACAAGGACATATTTCTCAGACTAACCCATCCAACCCTGTCATTCTGAGTACCTTATATGTGGAATCTTCTTTGACATTTAAGACTGACATTCAACTACCACAAACTGTCCACTAGCCTGGATCCCCTCCTCCCAATGCAATTGGGTGGGTGACACCAAGCACTGTTCTGGGTCAGACTGTGCACTACCCCACTGTCAACAAGGCAGACTGTGCCCCATCCTCACAGAGCTCCTGATCAGCTGAGTGATAGCAGGCAAATAAACACTAAGGGAATATTTTAGGATGATATGCCCAAGTCTGGGACAGGAATAACAGGTAAGGAAGGCCTCTGCTATCTGAAGGAAGTGCGTCCTTCTGCAGCTGGCTGTGTGCACAGGCAGAGGGGGCAAGAGCAAACAACTGAATGTGCAGAAGTCCTAAGTGCAGTGTGTCTGGCCCATGTGAACTGAAAAAAGGGGGTAGCAAGCAGAGGGTCTACACTGCAAGTTCAAGCCCTTCTGCCTGGAATTCCCGACACAGAGAACTCACTGCTCAGCCTGAGGCTTCTGATTGATGTCAGGAAGGATGTGGACTTCATGAAATCCCAGTCTGAATTTGCTCAGCAGAGAAATGATCCTGGGAAACAGATTGAGAGTTTTTAAAATGTTTTCATTCATTCAACTGATTTTTAAAAATATTTTATGGGGCTGGAGCGATGGCTCAGCAGTTAAGAACACTGGTTGTTCTTACAGAAGACCCGGGTGCAAATCCCAGCACCCACATGATAGCTAACAACTGTCTGTAACTCCAGTTCCTACATGCAGGCAATACACACATACACATAAAATAAAAATAATAAATCAAATACTTAAAATTATTTTAAAAATATTTTATTGCCAGGTGTGGTGGCACTTGCCTCTAATCCCAGCACTCGGGAGGCAGAAGTAGGTGGATCTCTGTATCTCTGTGAGTTCAAGGCCAGCCTGGTCTACATAATGAGTTCCAGGACAGCTGGGGCTACAGGGAGACCCTGTCTCAAAAAGTCCCCCCCCAAATTTTTATTTATTATTTTTATTTTTCTGTGTATGAGTGTATTGCCTGCATGTGTATAAGTGTACCCGTGTTGTGCAGTGACAATGGAGGTCAGAAGAGGGAGTCGGATCCCCTGGAACTGGAGTTACGGACAGTTGTTAGCTGCCATGTGGGTGCTGGGACTCGAACCCTCTGCAAGAGCAGCCAGTGCTCTTGACTGCTGAGCCATCACTCCAGGCCTATTCCATGGATTTTTATCCAGCACCTGCTGAGCTTACAGCAGTGAACAAAACAGATCTAAATTTGTCCTGGTGGATCAGACAGGAGGCAAAGTGGACAGATGGTAAGAAATACCAGTAAACTAGGTCCAAGGGTAGCAAGTGACATGGAAAAATATTTGACCAGGATTTCCCAAGTGTCTCTGAACCAGTGTGTCTCAAATTTTAAGGCACAGCTGCTAGGAATCTTGTTATTCTGCAGATTCAGCATCAGCTGCTCTGGGTGGAGCCTGGGATGCTACTGGGCCACCAACCAAAGATGAAGAGGCGCACTGAAGAGGAACAGTGGGGTGAAGACAGCACACAAGAGCCAAAAAGAAACCGGGAGCTGCAGGCCAGATGGTGCAGACTTTGCATCAATGGAGAAGCTCACCACTAAAGAAGCTCACAGTCTAAACAGAAAGACCACAGAGGAAGCTGCTGTCTGGCTGGATGGCATATGATAGGGAAGACTGCTATAGGCCCAAGGGTCTGAGACAATGGAGTGTCCACATCAGAATCACCCAAGAAGCTTGCAGAATAGCATACCTGTCGGATCCTAGCCCTCCCTAGGGTCAGAACCCCTAAGCAGGGCATAGATTGGGTGATGCCCATAGGATGTGATGTGCCCATCAAACTGAGGCCTACTGCACTCACTGGGGAGGAAGCCAGTGAGCAAAAGTGGGGGACAGTGATGGACTGACTGGGATGACATGGAGCATGTTGGGTGACCAGGAGCGAGCCTGAAGACCCAAGCTAGGGCCCCAACACCCAAGCCCTGCTGACTCTTGAACTTGGGAATGGGACTTTTTTTTTTTTTTTTTTTTTTTTTTGAGACAAGGCCTCATGTAGCCTAGGCTGGACTGTGACTCACTATATAGTTAAAGATGACTTTGAACTTTTGAGCCACCTGCTTTTACCTCTCTAGTATGTACCACCATGCTTGGTTTATGAAATGCTGAGTGGTGAACCCCGGCCTTTATGCATGCTAGGCAAACACTCTTCCACCTGAGCTATAGCCCCAGGCCAGGAGTAGGATTTTGAAAGCAGAGCTGTGGCAGCCTCTTCCTGGTGTGCGTCAGAGACTCAGCAGACCTGAGGTCACAGAGACACCATATCACATTGTCTACCAAGAAACAGTTGGGACAGAAGTGTTTTCATAGCTCCTGCATAAAAGCCATGCTGTTATCCAGTGGGGCCACAGCCTTAAGCTAAGTCAATCTCAGGAAGTCCAGCTGCCACCCAGGGCTAGGACAGGAAGCAAAGAACAATGTTGTTCTTGGCTTTGCAGGAAAGACGCCTTTTGGTGGTAAAGTTCTAACAGGTGTGTGTGTGTGGGGGGGGTGACGCTGCTGGGTCACTCTGAACTCACAGGGTGGCTAAAAGAAGAGAACTTAGAGATGGATGAGGAGCAAAGGCCAGCAGTCTACTCCTATCCTGATCCCAGGGTGTCATGGCAAAAGGACCTGGAGCCTTGCTAGGCTCTTCTCTTTGAATAAACCACCCCACTTGCCCTGCAGGCCTCATTTGTGACCTTTAACCTCACTTTGCCCAGCTCCTCCTCCAAGGCTCATCTGTGGCTACACCTCATCGTGTACTGACTTCCTTGCTTCATCATGTACTTCTGGGTCTGTTTAAGGCAACTCACATTCTGACTTAGTGCTGTGGTTTACATACAATTTGTCCCCTGAACTCAGGTTGAAATTTAATCCTTAGTGTGAGGGAGTGAGAGAGTGGAACCTGAATCCTGCTCTGGTGTTCATGGGTGAGGGCTTTGGGACAGGTTTAGGGGACCAGGTCACTGGGGCGGTTAGAACCCCACAACTGAGCCCTGGTAGCTTTATATCCAAAGGAAGAGCCCAAGTGTGGTGGCATATGCCTTTAATCACAGCACTAGGCAGAAGCAGGTGGATCTCTGAGATGTAGGCCAGCCTGGTCTACACAGTAAGTTCCAGGCCATCTGGAGCTACACAGAGACTGTGTCTCAAAACAAACAAACAACAACAACAAAGGAAGCAAACATACACATTTCCTCTCTCTCTCTCTCTCTCTCTCTCTCTCTCTCTCTCTCTCTCTTTCTCTCTCTCTGTCTCTCTGTATCTTGTCATGTGATACCCTGTGTCACCTCACCTCAGGGCTCTGCCAACAAGAGGCCATCATCAGATGCTGCCATTGGACTTTGAACCTCCAGAATCATGAGCCAAAAGAAACCTCTTTTCCTTATCAAGCAGACTGTCTCAAGTGTCTTATTATAGTCATAGAAAATGGGCTAGATACATCTCAGAAGGGAATTTTTATCTTCTAATTAAAACAGAAAATGCCACCTGCTGCCAGAAAGTGGTGGCAATGAAAAACCCATGTAAATAAATCAGAGTCACCGACTTGTGGCTGTATGGCTTGCCTGCCAAGCCTATAAGTCAAGCCTACTCTGCTTGCTTATGCACGCCTTTAGTCCCAGCACTCAGGAAGCAGAGGCAGGCGGATCTCTGTGAGTTCAAGGCCAGCCTGGTCTACACAGTGAGTTCCAGGCCAGCTGGGGATACAGGGAGACCCTATCTCAAAAAGACCAAAAAAAAAAAAAAGTCACTTCTCACCAAGAGATTTGGTGTGATTTTCTGTTTATTTGCTATCATATCTCCTGGCCACTTGGATCACCTCGTGCCTCCTACTGAGCCTCCATCCCCACTTGGGGGACAGTGTCAGGAAAGATTCTAATCTCACTTACCTCCACCCTGCTTTTCACACAGGTTTTCTCTTGAGTTTTGTGATTTTAGCACTTACCACCCGTTCTTGTCATAGCAAAGCACCTGTGTCTCCTTAAGGTTGGACAGAAAGCCAACACGTTGGAAATGGAGAGAGCACTCCTGCCTGAGGCCTGGACACCATTGCTGTGGCCTGGAAAGAGCTGCCCTGGGCTTTGGGACAATCTCAGGGCCATCTGGGGCAGAAGTGGAGGATACAGGGAGAGGGGATCTGGCAGCCTCAGGAAGGCTAAATGACCAGTCAGTACAGCCCGTGTTCCCTACTTACGCCTTTCTCTCCTCATCCATCCTGTTGATCTGGCCGCCAACAAACACGCGGATCTTGCATTTGCCCCATCTCTTCTTTCGGTGCAGAAGGTAGGGAATGAGGAGGGTGAGGCCTGGCAGGGACGGTCCCCAGGAGCCAAGAGGAAAAGACTCAGGATAGAGCCTTGTGTAGATTCCCACCCAACACTACCACAGCAAAACCCTCCCCTCCCTGGACTCTACCTGTGATGCTCAGTGGGCTGTGGTTTATTTGGCTAATTTGGTACTTTGGGATTTTCATTTTTCAGTATTATTGGTTTGGGGCCTTTTTTTTTTTGGTCTTTTTGAGACAGGGTCTCCCTGTGGCCCCAGCTGTCCTGGAACTCACTATGTAGACCAGGCTGGCCTTGAATTCACAGAGATCTGCCTGCCTCTGCCTTCGAATGCTGGGATTAAAGGCGTGTGCCACCACACCAGGCGGTTTGGGGCCTTTTTGAGGCAAGGTAACCAAGCCTGACTTTGAATTCCTGATCCTCCTGCCCCCACCTTCCAAGTGCTGGGACTGCAGGTATGCAGCATCACACCCAGTCAATGAGATGGTTTTAAATAAATAAGAAGTAGTTGAATAATTGGGGGGTTGCACGTGAACATCAGGATAACTGGCATTTCCTGAAAGTTGAATATTTGACCAACTGGTAGGAACCCTCTCCCCTGGCATCTCTCTATACAGATCCTGCCACCATGTAATCAGTGCATAGTCCTCTGTGTCTGTACTCTTATTTGCAGAGAAGGAGATTGCATTGGCTTAGGCCACATAGAGTATATATGCATATACCCTAGCCTGTGTGGGTGTCATTAAAGTCATTCTTTGATATCTACAGGGGAACTGTTTCCAGGACCTGCCCTCAGATACCCAAATCAGCAGATACCTCATGCCCTCTACAGAATGGTATAGCATCTGCGTAGAACCTATACACACCCTTCCACATCCCTTAGGATCTTCTATGACACCTACCAGGGTGTATGTGCCATGAAAATCATTCCTATGTTGCCAGGCATGGTGGCACATGCCTTTAATCCCAGCACTGGGGAGGCAGAGTCAGGAGGATCTCTGTAAGTTCAACACCAGCCTGGTCTACATAGTGAGTTCCAGGCCACCTGAGCTACAGGGGGACCTTCTCTCATAAAGACCAAAAAAATTAATTAAAGAAAAAAACCAGTTATGTTTTAAGAAAACAGGACGAAGGTACATTTCTGTGATGCCAGGAACGCTCCTGTGCTGCCCTGTGGCCAACTCGTTTTCCTTATTTATGTCATGTGCCTGGGATTTCCAACATCCATCCAGACAGAAGGTTCTGTCTCATGCTGACCTCAGTGCCAACCCCTCAAAGTGCTTCATTTTACCACTGAAACACTGGAAAAAAGGGACATAGGCCTAGCCTTGCTCCCTGCACTCATTGGCATAATAAAGCCATTGTTGGCTTCTAGGCCTCTCTAGAGGCCTCTACAAGAGCAGCCAGAAAGGGCAGGCCAAGGAGATGCAGAGCCACAGAAGGTAGACAGTCCTAGGGGAAAGGAAGGGGTCTGAGGGAACCTGACCTCCATCATCAAACAGCCAGTAGATGTCGATGGTCTTCTTCCCCTGCTCCGACTGGAAGATGGTGCTGGCCTGCTCCTCCTGCACCAACACCTCCGGGCCTGCTGCAGGAGATGGGGTGTGTCAAAGTAGAGTCAGCACACACAGTGCCTAGACTGCCAGAAGACATTCAGCTGCCCTGTGAGGTGGACTGGCCTTTGTCACCCAGCTACATGGACAGCAGCCAGAGGCATCCTGTAGGACTGGCCAGACACAGATAATGCCCCTTTCAGTGCTGCGACTGGGATTCTCACAGTGCTACAGTGAGCTCCTTCCTGGCGCCCAGCTCTTCTATCCCCAGGTTCCGGTGGGCACTGGGAGGTTATTGGTAAGGAGCACGCTCTTCGATCTCTGGAGGATCCCTCTTCAGATGGAGCCTTCCTTCCCTTGCTCTCCTCTTCCTCTCCCAAATGCCACAGGATGTCCCTCTACCTGCTGCCTATTTTCCTATCTCCCAGGGCTCCTCACTGCATATAACATTTGAACACAACTGAGAGGGAGTCTTATCAGGGGTGGGACTTAGGCCCATAGCCCCAAGTTCTCCACTAAGCTGGCAATCTTCAATATGAACCCAAATTCTCCAGTTCCCCAGCCCTAGTTATTAGGGCGCCACTGTCACAAGAGGAAGCGATCTACCCTTGGCCAAGCCTCCAGGCGACCCAACACTAGTACCCCACAGGTAAGAGTACCCTGATCCTCCAAGCAGATGGGGGCTGACCTGTGCCTGATACTGATGGTCTGGCCCCACTGCCACTGGTGCCCTTGCCATCCTCTGCTGGATCAAGCATGGGGTTAGCTACAAAAGAGGGGGCCAGCTGGGCTGCAGGCATCCCTCCCTGGGGCGAACCGGGCTCCTTCCTGGGACTCCTCTAACACTAGAAGCATGTCCCTATTCCTCCCCAGGGAGCCTGGCTGCTGTTTCTCTCTGCCCTGGCTCCTGCCCTGGTCCCTCACACTCCGGCCATACTCCTTTCTCTTGCTTCTACAGGACACGCCACATTTCAGGGCATCTCAGGGCAGAGGTCACTCTTTCTCTAGGCCTTCCCTCCACGTCAGTAGGCAGACTTGACTTGTCCTCAGAGAGACTTGTCTGTGAACACCCTGCATCTACTTCCTCAGGACACTTTTAGGTCTGAGGTGACTTGTGTGTCTACTGCTTTAAGCATCTGCTTTGTCCCCCAAGCATCAGCACCCAGGGTGGGGAGAGGCTTTGTTTGTTCTCTGCCTGGAGCAGTGACAGGAGCGTGGTTGCTGACTCTGCCACAGTGGCTGCACAAATATCTATCCTCCAGATACTGTGGGCAGGCGTGCCCTCTGCCCCTGGTAACAATGCCCCTGCCTGCAAGAAATGGTCCCCCCTGCATGTCTCCCAACCCTGCTGTCCCTTTGCCTTTCCCGCCTCTAGCTATCACTAATTTAGTCTGCACAACTTTCAAATACTGCAGAATGTGTTCCTACTCTGTGCCCCAAGGATGGCCTTGAGGCCCAGTGGTCCAGTGCCCATGGCCTTTGAGTGTTTTCTCTATGGCGTTTCTATGCAAGCAAGTTCCTCTGCCCTCTGCCTTTCTTCTGTCAGATCCTCTGTAGCTTCCTGGTTACCAGAGCACTGATGGCGATTGGGGGATTTCCAGTCCCCTCTCTGCCCCTAGCTGCAAGCTAGGTTACTGGTTACTTCCCCTTTCTGGGCCTCAATTTCTCCATTTAGAAACCTGATGGGCTGTAAGGGACCACGAAGGGCTGACTTTCTATGAGTCTGTGACTAATTTTCCCCTTCTTCCTTCCACCACTTTTTTTTTTTTTTTTTTTTTTTTGGTCTTTTTGAGGCAGGGTCTCCCTGTAGCCCGAGCTGTCCTGGAACTCACTATGTAGACCAGGCTGGCTTCTCCTCCCAAGTGCTGGGAGTAGACCTCCTGCTTCTGCCTCCCAAGTGCTGGGACTACAGGTGTGCGCCACCACACCCGGCTCACTTTTTTTTTTTAAAAAAGATGGGTTTTTGACAGCAGACTGCGTAGGTATGACATGTACTCACTGTGCATCTGCATCATGTCAGGAACATTGAGCCCCTCACACATCCTCATGACGCACACCCCGTAGTTGAAATCAAAGGCATCACTAGAAAGAGGAGGAGGGGTCAGGCTGCTGACCCTAGTGACTTGGCTCCCAAGAGACCAGATGTCTACTGTAGGCCCTGCCCCTCACCAACTCCTCCTCTGTGGGCCTCAGTTTCCCTATCTGTACAGGCGGTACTGGAGAGTTACCCAGAACCCTCTTGGGAAAACCAAGTCAGGCCCTGCTTCATGTTACACCTGGTCCTCCTGATCATTTGGTTCTGCCCACAGAGATGGGCATGGTGACTCTTACCTCCACTCTACACACAAAATCTGAATTTGGGGGGTACTTGCTCGTGGTCAGGCAAGTGAGGGGTTGAGCAGCTGGGACCATAAACCAGGAGTGCCTCCCTCATAGGACAGTTAACTATAAAGAGCACCTAGAAAACTGCCCCAAGGGTGTATTTATGGTCTGGTTGATATAATACCAAGGCCTCCCTGAGGGTCTAATCTATTGTGCTAAACTCTGCCCTCACTAGACTTTTTCAATCACGCATCTCTGGACTGTCTTGGACACGAGCTGCAGGCAGCCTGGGGACCAGGTTTTTCATCTTCTTGTAATTGTGTTAAAAACAGCTGAAGTGATAGACTGAGTCCCACAGACCTGGGAATAGTTTCAGGGTCTCAGTGTTTTTTAGTACTCCTGCCCTCTGTGTGGTACAAGCAACCTAGGTAGACATTCCCTGAACTGTGCAGAGTTGGAGGTATTGGGGCTTGAAGCTATTGACCTCAGGCCTGGGTCCCATTCTTTCAGTGGTACCTGATAGATAAAAAGTAGTCTATGGATGAATCTGGTTGATCCAGAGAAAGCATCAAGACACAGATAAAACTCCATCGGAATAGAGTTTATTAGCAAAGGAACACATGGGACAGATTCCCTTCTGGGCAGGGAAAATGTCTGCCTGGTTCGTGAGCTGGAGATGATTGTTTTAAGTTTTTACATTGTTTGACATATTTATGGCTATTTTAAAAGGAATTATTTTTAGGTTTTGACATTGTTTGAATGACATCTTTATTTGGTAATTTTAAAGGAATTATTTAGATTTTAACAGTACCCCATTAGAGCACCTGAGCTGGGTGCCTCCAAGGTTTTTGCCTAAAAACCCACGTTTTCAGCTATCCTGTAAAAAGAAAGATCTGGTGACACTGGGCCTGCATTCTGATGGGCACAATTGGCTAGTGCCATGTACTATCAGTTCTCTCCAGTTTGCCACAGTCCCCATTGCTCTTTGCCGTCCCACTTCACTCTGCTGACCTCAAGTGTCTATGAAGGTCAAGGTGGGACACCCTCAATCGACTTCCTCCTTAGCCTTCACGAAGTGGTTCAGGTGTCCCCACTATTTCTGCTCTGCTTTCTCAGGCCCAGAAAGCCAGTGGCCCAAACCAACAGCCTCCAGCCCACACCTGTACCCCTCACTCACTGCAGGATGCCGATGTAATCTTCCACTGTGGCCGGGTGAGCAGACTGCCAATTCTTCTTGAACCCTATCACCAGAATGTTGGGCCTTATTCTTCCCAGCCCTGAGGCCTGCCAGGATAGAGGAGGTGGGTCGAGTCAGAGGGTGGCCTGGTACTCAGGGGCTCTGTTCTGTGACAATGATCAGGGTAAGGTCTTCGCTCATCCTAGACACCCCTACCACCCATGCTACAGAGGCTCAGGATCCTATCCCTCTGGATACAAGGTGAAGCAATAACTGAAGTCCCCCTGTGGCTTTTCCAAGCCTGAGCTAAGAGCTGCCTGTCCCATTATCTCTAGAATAGGCCAGCTCCTGCTTCTCCAAATACTTGTTTTTCAAAGCATGAGACTTGAATTTGAATGTCAAGTTAGAGTTCTCTTGGGCCATCAGGTCTATATAGTCTCTCTTTCCCCCTCCTTCTCTCCCTCCCTCCTGTTCTCCCTTCCTCCCCTCCTCCCTCTCTCCTTCGGATCATCCCTCCTTCCTTTATTATTTTTCTGTTTTGTTTCAATTTTTGTATGCCTTTTTGATATGTGGCCTTGATTTCCTGTCTCTGCCTCCAGAGTGTGGGAATTACAGAACTGTATCCCCTTGCTGGGCTCCTCTCTTTTTTTAAGGTTTCGAGATTCTTTAAAATTTTTGGAATGAGGGACTGGAGAGATGTCTCAGTGGTTAAGAGCACTGACTTCTCTCACAGAAGACCCAGGTTCGATTCCCAACACCCACATGGCTGCTAAGAACCATCCTTAACTCCAGTTCCAGGGGACTCCGAAGTCCTCTTCTGACCTCCACATCATTATACGACACGGGTGCAACTCACAAACATGTAGGCAATACACTCATACACATAAAATAAAAATAATAAAGTATTTTGAAAATAAAATAAAATTTGGAATGAAATCAACATAACAAAATTAACCATTTTAAAGTATATAATTCAAAAGTAGATAAGTGCAATTTCAAAAAATATATAACAAGCTGGGTATGCTGTACATGCCTGTAGTCCCAGCTACTTGAAGAGGCTGAGGCAGGCTAGGCATTAGCACAATGGCAGAGCACTTGCTTAGCATTCTGGGGGTCCTGCTCCCTAAGTACCACATCATAAGACACACACACACACACACACACACACACACACACACACACACACACACACGAGCCCAGGAGTTTGGGACAGATTAGGCAACATAATGACTCAGAGGCCAGCATGGGTAACATAGCAATAACTTGTTTCAAACAAAACAAAAAGAAACCCACAAAACAACCAAAAAACCAAGTATGTCCTTCAGTGGCATTCCAACAATTTCAGTGCCTCAATGCCAAGGCCTCTCTACTTCTAAAATGTTTTCATGGGGCTGGAGAGATGGCTCAGTGCTTAAGAGCACTGGCTGCTCTTGCAGAGGACCCTGGTTCAGTTCCCAGAACCCACATGGCAGCTGACAACCATCTGACCAACCTCTTCTGACCTTCTTGGGTATTGCACACTTAGACATGCAGGCAAAATACTCATACATATAAACAATTTCTTAAATGTTTTCATAACTTCCTAAAGATACTGCATGCATTTTTTTCACATTGAGGAATAGTTAAAACTTGAAAAGAATTCTCAGATGTCAACTCAGAGTTAACAACCGCTGCTTTTGTATCCATACATCTCATGTTACACATGAAAATACCTGGCAGTAAATTCACTGCTCAGTGAAACATTCTTGATCTGGGTGGTGGTTATATACCACTGGGTGGTGTCTACATATGCAAACACTTTACAGATTTCACTTTACTAAATGTAAATTATATCTGAAAACTAAAGTGAGGGGAGAATGTTATGAGAACCTATAATAATCCCAACTACCTAGGAGGCCACGGCAGGTGGATTGTAAATTTAAAGCTAACCTTGGCTATAGAGTAAGTTCAAGGCCACCCTGGGAAATTTAGTAAAACCCTGTCTCAAAAAAATTGTTTTCAAGTAAAAAGAGGGCTGGGGTTATAGTTCAATGGTAGAGCTCTTACCTCTCATAAATGAGGCCTAGGGCTCAATCCCCAATATTGCAAAAAATTTAAACTCAACTAAAATAAAATAAATAAAATAAATCAAAACCAGGACCTGGCCAAGGTCACACAGCCCCCATAGGCTTCCCAGGATCCAGAGCACTCAGAGAAAGTGCCTGAATCAGCACATCTTGAGACATAAGAAAGTGGGGTGCTCCCATTTACAGCCAAAGGGGCTTTAACCAGACTCTCAGGACCATGTACTTTGCAAGCTACCCTACCAAGGAACAAGTCCCATGGGAAGCCAGTCAGCACCTGCATGAGAATCTGGACACCGCTGCGGAGGTCCTCAGCAATGACATCAGAGTAGAAGGCCTTGATCTTCCTCTTGTTCAGCCACTTGGTGTACCTGCTGGCGATGAGCCGCAGCTCAGGCATCTTCTGCTTTCGTGGTCCCTGTGAGTGAGCAACAGGTGGTGTCAGGGACTGCATTCACCATCCCATCTGATTTAACCCTTGTCCTGTTCTAGAGGCCACCCAGAGGCTCAGCATCACCCAGAGGTGTCTGTTGTTCTTAATAGAGTTGGGAAGGGGAAGAGGAAGAGGAAGGAAAGCTAGGCATGGTGACACTTGTGTGGTAGAGGTGGAAGGACAGGAGTTCAAGATCATTCTCAGCTACATAGCAAGCTGAGCTAGCCTGAGCTTCATGAGACCCTGTCCTGGAATGGGATCCTGGGTCCTCATGGGACCTAGCCAGACTCTACTGGCTCCACACCCTCCACTTCCATCCCCTGGGAAGATATCACATCCAGGTGACCCCACCCCCACCCCACTCCACCCCCACCAGGGAACAGATAGCCCTGCCTACCCTCAAGGAGCACTCACAATGAGCACATGGCCGCAGATCATCAGACTTAGGTTCTGGGTAAAGGTGCTTACGAAGTCCACTAAGGCTGGGCGGAAGTTGGGGGGCCCTGTGAGCACCAGGCACTGGGGGCTGGGAGAAGAAGGGACAGCATGAGGCAACAGGAGAGAGAGCCCTCGGGGCCTGCTTGCTAAACGTGGGTGCTCCTGGGCTCCTGCCACCTCCTGGGTCACCCTGAATCTTGAAGACTGGGGATTGTGGAGGTTGTGTTGCAGGTTTTGGGGCTTGTGTTCTCAGCTGTGACTCAAGAGGTCTTTGGGATATTTCAATGGCCATGACACTAGGTCTCTCTGTTCTTCCTGCTTCTGCCACCATACTCACTATCCTACCAGCCCAGCATGGCAGAGGCAGAGTAAAGATTGGTCATAAGAAGGCCATTGTTTACAAACTTGCTGTTCCCTGGCCAGGTGCCTGAGCCTTTGTGTTGAGAGGCTGCACAAGACTATAGTTAAGTGCCATTGCCAGTTGGAGCCAGATTCAGTGAGTCACTCACCAGCTGGGCAGCCAGGGCCAGTTACCTAATCTCTCTGAGCTTCATTTGTTCTCATCTGTGTCCAAGGTTAGTAAATTCATAGATCTCAGAGGTTTGTCATGAGGCCATGTGAGGCTCTTTGCAATGTGTCTGGCTCATTGTAAGTGGGACATAGAGCTTGCTGATTATAATACAGTCGGGTGGAAGATGAATGTCTTCTCTCACTACAGGGGACCCAACTTTGAAGAGTACCTAAGGCAGGCTTGTCACCACCTGTGCCCCAGGATTATATCATGAGAAATGCACCAATCCACCCTAATAGCAGAGCAGCTTCCACTGTGGAATCTGACATGGATGGTCCCTTTCCAGCAATGCTAACCCTAGCTCCAGATGGCCAGGTGGTCCCTCACCTCCATGCTGGCTCTGAGTAGGGCCAAGCTTACCCTGGATCTACCAGGGCAGGGGACCATGGCTGGTTGCTCACCGATAGTTCTTGATGTGGTCTTCCACCTCATTGAGGCCCACAGAGTAGTTCAGGGCCAGGTTGTAGGAACCAGCCTGCACTGAGGAGCCCCAGTTTACCTCTGAGGAAAGAGAGAAAGAAGGGGGAGAACAAGATTCATAATTGCCAGAAACAACCAGTCATGTGGGGGAAGAGGGACTGTCTGCCTTCCTTAGGCACAGGGCACCTCGGGAGTAAGGCCATGGGGAAATGGACAGCTGGCAGCTGTTTCTAGTGTGTTCAGGGCTAGTGTCAAGTGCCACGTGGCTGTCCAATTCAAGGATATACAGTGAGATGTTGAATTCCATGAGGTATTCTCCCACCCAACAAGCAGCCCCCCACAATGACTAGGAAGGCCAGGTTCAAATGTGAGTTCTAGGGTTTCCACCCTCAGATTGACATCAGTCCAGGACCCTACCTACACACAGTAGACTTTCCTTCTCAGGGTCCGGGTATGTCCACCTTCACACACCTTTGACCACCCTGACCTGAGTATAAGTACCCGCAGATGGCCCCTCTTAGAAATTTCTCAGTTCTAGGAGTCTGGCGCTGAGTGGGCACCTCCTTCCAAACACCTGGCTCAGGATGAGGTGAAGGCCAGCCTGGGTCCTGTGAAGTGCAAGGCTAAGGCCAGACTCCAGCTGGGCTGAGGGGCTGGCCTGGCTTCACGGCTGCCTGGGTGGGGAGTTGAGCCCCAGGGAACCTGAACCCACACACCTGGCTTCTTGTAGATCACATAAAGCAGGAGGAAGAAGATGACTCCGATGGCTATCAGGGCTGCCCACCAGGTGAGTAGGAACATGATGACCACGGAGATCACTGCTCCGAACAGTGCTGCCCACTTGCTGTAGTACCGGAAGGAGGGTCTCCACCCTGGGAGAGGCCAGACCAGTTCACACATCCACACTCAGGAGCTTTCTCCTGCCCAGAGCTGCAGCAAACATCCATGCCTCCATTCTTAGTGCTGGGGTCCTAGCCTGCACCCATTAACCAGGAATTCCTAGGGCCCTACCAGCCTTTATCTCCAGGATGGGGCATAGAGGCTCTGGGAAGTACCACTCCTATGCCCGGTGGGCATTTCACCATGGTGACAAGCTACACCAGGAAGGGAACATCCAGCCCTGTTCAGACACAGCCACTGGACCCTCAACATCAACAATAGTGCCAGCTCTCAAGGCTTATGTGGAGCCCAGAGGCTCAAAAGGATAGGGGACGGGGCTGGAGAGATGGCTCAGCAGTTAAGAGCACTGGCTGCTCTTGCAGAGGACCTGGGTTTGGTTCCCAGCACCCACATGGTGGCTAACAACTATTTGTAACTCTAGTTCCAGGGACTTCAACGTCCTCTTCTGGCATCTGCAGGCATTGTACAACACAGGTGCACTTACATACACACAGGCAAAACACTCATATACATAAAAAAAAATCAAAAAAATTTTAAGGTGGGGAGGGGCCACTTGGTTCTGCCTGGTTCTGTGCTAGTCTAGGGCCACTCCCAATGACCACTGTGTCAGGCATGTCTCCAAGAGTGTCAGGCACATTGTGGTCTATGTGAAAGGTGGTAGGGCAACAGGCCCACTTATGGCTTGGGGTTCATGAGAAAGTCTTCCTCAAATCTTGTTACTGCCATCTGCCAGAAGGTTTTCATCACCAATACAGATATCTATGAAATTTGATTGCTGAGGTATGAACAGCACCCCCCAGAGCTGAGCAATGCAAAACCTGAGGATTTCTGACTTGAGAAACTGGTGAAGGCAGGGACGAGAGCAACCTCTATGCACTCTGAAGGATGCATGGGTCTGTGCAGCCTGCACCATGCTTGGTAAAGAATGGCTGGTTTTATTAGGATACAAGCATTCCCTTCATGTGCTCTTAAATTAAGGGCTGCCCACCACCACCCAAGCCTTCCCCTCCTCCCCTCAGATACTAGGTACCTCCTCCCACGGCAGGATGAGGGTCTGCTTACCGGGTGAGTTGGTGATGGAGGCGTGGAAGCAGCTGAAGTTGATGAGGGCGTAGGAGCAGAGGAAGAAGTTGGAAATGATGGGAGCAATGGTGTTGAGCTCAGCTTCAGAGACCAAGGGAGAGGGGTATCATGCTGGAGGACTCCATCATGGGGCTGCCTGGCACCCAAGCTGACAGGGTTCCCCCACCCCAGCCCAGGTAGGCTTCGAGGCTCAGGCAGCTCAACTTTCTCATTTGTGAAATGGGTCTTTCTTCCTAGAAACTTGCAAGGGACAGTGTCTTGAAAAACCCAAGCCTCCAACTTTTAAGAGAATTTTTGAGGCTGGAAAGATGGCCCAGCAGGAAAAGGCACTTTCTGCCAAGCCTGCTGACCTGCGTTGAAGCCCTGGAATCCACATGGTGAAAGCAGAGAACTAACTCCCTGACTCTCATACATGCCCTCCCCATACACACAAACTAAACAAACGTAATAAAAAAAAAATTTAGAAGAGGATGGAAGGTGGCCCTGGACTTCATCAGGCTATTTGGTGACCAAGGACTGTGGCTGTGACACTTTTGACCATGAATGACTGTAAGGAGTACATTTGGCAATAGGACCCAGGACTCCTGAGACCATTTCACAGTCCCATCCACAGTGGCTCTTCCCTGTCTCGCTGGCCCCAGCACCCCCAGATAAACTTGTACATGTCAGTCTTTGTCTTAAGAGCCAGTGTCTAGAAGCTTTCTTTCCTCAGGTGGCTGTTACCAGACTGTTTGGGTAAGTCTCATGGGTAAGTGACTGGCAGAGCCATGACCCCACTTCTGCGTAGGGAGCAGGGGCTGGGGATGTCACATCACAGCATGGCCACTGCTTGGGTAGCCACTTCTCCCCAGTGAGTTCTGCTTCCTTGGCTGAGTAACTGGGATGTATTGGGCATGTGCCCCTTTATGAGGCTGTGCCCTCACACATGGTCTCTCCCTACCCACCTGGGCACATCTGCTATATACTATTGTTCTCTCTCTCTCTGCAGATGAGGAAACTGAAGCTCAGAGGAGTGACTTATCCACAGTCACAATAGCAGGCGCAAAGCCAGGAGAGAAGGCCGGTTTGCCAACTGATTATCTGGGCAATTGCTCCTTGGACCGTGCCAGAGATCAGGGGTGAAAGGCTGGCTTTATCTACTTTATACACCAGCAAAGATATTGATTCAGCCATTTGTATCAGCTCCCAAGATGGGACCAGGCAGCTTGGCCCATCTCTACAGGTGTCCTGGAAGAGGGGGTTCCCAGCTGTCAGGACACTGGAACTCACTGGAACATTGGGATAAGCAGGGAAGGCAGGGAAGGATCCTTCTAGTAGCAGAATGACCCGCTACCTAGTGTGGCTTGGCAGCCGCCTCTCTGAAAATGGAGAAGGATCACATGGCCTTCCACAGGCTTTCCAGGCAGGGCCTCACCCACTCAAGAGTTATTCCTTGGAGCTAGGGTGCGCCTTGATGGTAGAGCAAGTGTTTAGTAGAAGCCTGGCCCTGTTTGGTTCCATCCCCAGTGCCAAACAAGCAGTATTAACTGAGTGCCCGCTGACACCAGGAGAGGCAAGGGTCTCAGGGCTTCCACAGAGGGCTGGGAAAGGAGCCTCTTACCGATGATGATGAAGGCCACGGCAATGGCGTAGGCCAGCAGGTAGCCACGGATGGGCTCCTTGTTCTTGCCATAGCCTTTGCCAAAGAAGCCAATCAGAGGGTACAGCTGGTCCTGGCACAGGCACTGTGGGCAGCAGATGCCATGCTCAGCCCCTGGCTGGGACCTGCCACCTCCCCTTCCCAGGGCTACTTGTGCTCCCACTCCCGTGTGGGCCTGTGTAGCAGGTTCCCACTTCTGGGAATCGGGTAAAGTACAGCCGTCTCCTCACCATGGAGACAGGGATGCTTTCTTTAAAAGTTTGCTAGTCTGTCCCCTTTCCCTTCCACCCAGACCCCTGTTACATGACCCCCTGGAGCTTCATAGCCATCCCAGGAACCCTTCCACTTAGCTCTACACAACCATAACCAACCATTCCCAGCAGTCCCTTTCTGTAAGCTCACCTGGAAGACCTTGGCAGCAGAGACAAGACAGGCCAAGGCAGAGGACAGGGTGGCCCCAAAGATGCCAGCTGTGATCAGGGGTGCAAAGGCTGACACCATGCTCATGGTCTGTGGGAATGGTGGGGCTGAGCTAGGAGTCCCCATTGGGTAATCCCCTCCCCACAGAAGGTAACACTCAATCCTCTACCTGGGGACCTAAGGCTCATTCACAGGCATTGGGGACAGGAATCCCACCTAAGCTAGAAGCCCTCCTTCCCCCAGGCCCAGGCTGCAGCTTCCCACAGTCTCCTCCATCTCTCTTGCTTTGGGTGGCCTCCAGCAGGGCCCATCCCCTGCACCTGGTAGTAGTTGATGAGGCCATAGTGGCAGGTGTGCTGCTGGGAACATTCAGTGAAGTTCCAGCCATAGCCACAGGCTAGCCCCTCACAGGCTCCGGAGGCAGAAGTCAAGGTGTCATTCAGATCCCCAGAGGCATCACGCACCACACAGGAGCCTGAGAGGAGAGCCCAGATTAAATGTGATTATGTGCAAGGGCTGGGCAGTTGTTGAGAACATTTTACTCATCTTTCCCCAGGGGAAGCATGGTTTTCCCTGTAGGGGCTTCACATGGGCACCTGGAACCTCCAAGTTTGGAGGTACCAGAAGGGCCTGGTCTGGCCTCCCCCTCAGCATGAAGTTGTTCTGGTCACTGCCAAAGTGACAGGTACCCCAGAGGCAAGACTCAAGGATCTCCCTGCCCAGCCCTTCATGCTAGAGTGCAGTCCCAGCCTGTGGTCCCTGTTCTGTCCCTCCATCCCCACTATGCTGGCCACTCACCAATGGTGGCTGAGATGGCGAGGTAAGAGATGGTGGTCCAGAAAATGGCCATGAGTGTTCCCTTGGGGATGGCTACAGCAGGGTCCTGCAGGATGGACGAGGTGTCAGGCAGCCTGTGGGCTTCCTTTGGGCCTCTGTGCTTCAGCAGAGATCAGGGTGGGCAGCAGTCCCTGACCTTGGCCCCTCAGAGCCTGTCCAACCCAGGAAGGAGAAGCCTGTGACTGAGAACCCACAAGGCAGACATGACCACAGTCACAGGGTTGAAACTACATCTGAGGCCTGGGAAGTCTGATGAAGACACAAAACCCCAAGAGCTTCAGACCCCAACCTCTGAGGATCACCGGTGAGGCTTGCTGTGGGGGAGGGGAGGAAAGACCGACACCTGGCTCTCCCCCAGTAAAGAGAAGACATGCCCCATTTTCCTTCTGTTCCAACAAACAGATCTCCCTGCATATACACATCACAGGCTCCTTCTTTTAGGTTCTTCCACAAAGGAAACTTCCTGAGATGTGGCCTGTGAAGCTCCACCCAGCCCGTGAGGAAACCGAGGAGAGCTCACTATGAGGAGAGCAGGTTCACAGAGCCTCTAATGCCTCTGGTCTTGACCCACGGACCCACAACTTCGGACTCCAGGGGCCAGTCCCAGGGCAGTCACTCTGGCTGGATTTGTACCTCAGGCTCAAGAGCTGTTCCACTCTCCAGGAACAGACCCCAACCCTGGGGCTGTGGGGAAAAGCCAAGTCTACTATGAGAAAACTATAAATTCCCAACTCTCCCTGGCTGCTGGGCTCATGGCACAGTGGGCAGGTAGATACACAGATTAGAGAGCAAACTGTAGAAAGAGGAGAAACAGGAGTAGAGGTGCAGAGTGGAGGGAGGCTGCATGGGGACAGATGTGCTGGGGCTCTCTTTGGGGACCCTTGACCTGGCCCTGCCAGCCATACCCAATCACCCACTTTGTGTAGAGGGAGGCCCAGGCCCCAAGGCCAACAGGCCACAGCAACCTCCGTGTGGAGCTGTTGGGGTTTCTCGTCCTTCTCAGTCTTCCCAGGCCTCAGTTGTGGTCTTAATCCTGTGACTGTGGTGATGACCATCCTCTGTCCCCCCAAATCCATGTCTACCCAGAACCTCAGAATGTGCCCTTATTTGGAAAAAGTTCACTGAAGGTGTAAGAGTAGAGATGATGTCATGCTGGGTTAGAATGAGCATCAACCACAATGTCTCGTGTCATATGAGAAGAGGAAGGGGCACAGAGATGTCACTCATGGTTTAGAGTGACACAGATCAGAATGGCAAACTCCAGACCAGATAGCATTGCCAGGAGCCAGAATGAAGCCAAGGAAGACCCGTCCCCAGATCTTCAGAGGGACACAGACTCGATTTCAGCACTTAGATTGGGGTTTCCAGACTCCTGAGCCAGGGGAGTGTGTTTTTGTTGTTTTAAGAACTCCTATTTGTGGGACTTTGCAACCACAGGAAGAATACCCCAGCCTTCAGCCCCCACCTGCCACCCCATCTTGGTCTGAGATCTGAAAGCTGGGTCACAAGCCAGGTTCATTTCTTCCCAGCTGTGTGTTCCAGAAGAGGCCCTTCATAGTCTCCGAGACTCAGTTTCCTCATAAGGGGTTGCAAGTGCCAATAAATAGGAGTATGTATGGATGGGGGCAGAGCCCTACACATGGCATGCCCTGGCCATAAGCATGGGCACCCAAGTTTGGATCTTCAGAGCCCACATAAAACTGGGTACAGTGGTACACATCTCTAATCCCAGTGCTCCTACAGGCAATGGGAAGCAGACACAGGAGAGAATCCCCTGTAGCTCATGGACCAGATAGCCTGGTGCGTACAACGATGAACAATAAGGAGACCTATCTCAAACTAGATGGAAAGTTATCCTCCAAACTCTATTACCTAGTATATAATTACCTAGTGCACTTAGTATGAATATCCCAGACCTCACACACATGAACATATAACACACACATACATGTGGACACATACATATATACACACACGTGAACACACACACACACACACACATATATATATATATATATATATATACACACACACACACACAAAGTATCTGAAGAGCCATAGAATAGGGCCAGAGATATGTCTCAGTGCTTATACAGACCTGAAGACCTAAGTTTGATCCTTAGTTCCCAAGGTGGAAGGAGAGAACTGTCTTCTGAAAGTTTTCTGACCTCTACATGCATGCTATGGCATGTGCATACATGTACTCACACATGCACATCATACATGCATATATATATATATATATTTGGTATTTTTGAGACAGGTCTTCCTGTAGTCTCAGCTGGCCTGGAACTCATTATATAGACCAGGCCAGCCTTGAACTCACAGAGATCAACCTACCTCTGTCTCTGAGTGCTGGGATTAAAAGCATGTGCCACCACGCCCAGCCTGCACTAATATATTTTTTAAAGTCATAAAATGGCTATTTAAGGAAGACCTCTATGGTCTCACAAGCTTGCATTGTGACTCACCACTGTGGGCCAGCCCCTGACTCTCCATTCTTGGCTTACTTGTGTGTATGACCATAAACAGGACATTGGTGACAGCCAGCCCTCAGCACATCCTTGGTGCCAGGCACTAGTCTAAGCATTTAACATGAAATGGCTCCCTGACTTCTCACCCGCCCCTGTAAGAATGGGGGCTGTGTTGATCCCACTTTATAGTTGGGGAAACTGAGGCACAGAGCAGTTATAAAGACTTATTCAGAGTCTCACAGTGAGGGCTCTATTGCTGAGCACAATCCTACAGGAAGGACAGAGCCAAGTCCAAAGCCAGCTTATGGTTTGAAGACACAGGGTGCAGCAAAAGTACTGCCGTACCCAGCTCCCAGATAGCTGCTGTCCCTGACGCTGAGCGCACAGCACAGAAGCCTGGTAAAGCAGTGATGGTTAATAAGTGTTAATGGGGTTTAGGCTGTCTGAACACAGACCAGGCCTCTGCAGGGACCTCAGGATGGGCACCCCAGGCTTCTACCAGCCTCTCCTTTGAGAGGAGAGGAAGAAGCAAATGCTCTGATCGCCAGGTCTCAGTGAGAGACTCTGTAGAGCATACAGCTTTCAGTATTGTCTCCAGGAACAACTAGTTTTGTGTTTGTTTTTGGTTTGGTTTTATGAAATAGGGTCTCCTATATGCCAGGCTGGGTCTGAATTCACTGTGTTGCTGAAAAGGACTTTTAATTCCTGGTCCTCCTGCCTCGGCTTCCCGAGTGTTGGGATTCCGGGCCTGTGCCACCCTGCCCACCTTTCGCAGTTCTTAATTCTATGAGAAGCATCAACAAGCAGCATATCCTTCTAGTGGGAAGGAGACTGAGGTCATGGTCAGCTCTGGGTTCAGTCACAACACCAGGCTCTTCACCAGTCCTCCTCTCCTTGGTTTCTGCCATTGGTGAAATCTCCTCTATTGTCTTAGGGGAGGCTCCAGCCCCAACCCCATCCAGTTCTGTGGAGCCTCTGCCACTCTGAGCTGTCCTAACCCCATTGCACAGCTCTTAACAACTGCTGCTTTGATGCTCTGTTTCACCACCATTCAATCAACAAACATACCGAACACCTCTCTTGTGTCTGACTCTAAGCTAGAAATAAAAACAAAGACATTGGATTGGTGTCTTACGGGAACACTGTGGCTAATGGAAGGCTGGGCAGAGGTGCTGCAGGAAGGGTTTGAAAGAGGTACAGAACTTTGTGGGGCCAGGCGTGATAGCACACGCTTGTAGTTCCAGTACCTGGGAGGCAGAGGCAGGTGGATCTCTGTGAGTTCAAGGCCAGCCTGGTCTACATAAAGAGTTTCAGGACAGCTGGGGCTACAGGGAGACCCTGTTTCAAAAAAAGACAAAAATAAATAAAAAGAACTTTGTAGAGTAACAAAACAAGGGCAGGACATGTTTAGGTCCCTCAGTCAAAGGCCTGAGAATGTCATGGACACAATAGTAGGTCCTCGGGGAAGAGCAGGGGTCCTGGGAATGGTGACAGGATGCCAGAATGAGGTTGGAAGATGGATTGGAGCTTTTACTTCCAATCCAAGGAACTGCCTGCATCAAAGCTGTGGAGAGACAGGGGATGCCAGTCACAGTTGGGCCAGTGATCCCAGACCAAGAGTCCCAGGAAACAGTGACTAACCCATTTTGGGGTGTCCCACAAGGCCTACAGCATAGTGGTATCAAGCAGCAGTCTTGGAATGGAGTAGAAAGGAATTGATTGGGGTCGAAACTCACTGAGCTGCCTGGATTTTAGAATCTCTGACCCCCCTGGTCTCCATGCCAAGCTGACTGCTCAGCGGCAGAACCCTGCAGCATAGGGATCAAGGTTGTGCTGACAGTGCTCTGCAGTGCTGGACAGTAGGGACATGCTCTACTCACCTTGAGGTCCCCGGAGATGTTGGCCCCTGCCAGGATGCCTGTGGCTGAGGGAAAGAAGATGGAGAACATCCCGAAGAAGCTACCATCAGCACCCCTCCAGTCAGGCACCAAGTTCTGAATAAAAATATCTCCTGGAAAACCAACACCCAAGTCAGGGTCACCCAGAGTCACCCAGAGAGGTTGGCTGCTTAGCTGGGCCCAGCCAAGTCAGCTGTCAGTTCCCCTCCTCAGCCCTAGCCTCCTGTGCCCATTCAGTGGGCCAGATACATGGACCAACTATCCCCACCCAAACAGCCACTGTCAGGGCCCCTGACCTCGCATACCATGGTAGCTGAAGAAGCCTTTGGAGGCCTTGTCCTCGGATGCAGGGATCAGCGTCCCTACCAGGTAGTTGGCAAAGGAGACCATGATAACGAGGAAGAATAGGACCTGGGCCTGGAGAAAAGGACCCTGGAGGTTGGATGGCAGCTCCAACCTTGTTTCTTTAACCACGCTTGTTCCCTTACCAGTCAGGCAGTGAGCTCTGCTTGAGGAGTTGTGGATACAGCAGTTTTAGACGAACTGAAAGTAGGCACAGGGGTTGTTATGGGACCAGGTTCGGGGATTAGTAGGGCAACCTGGAGTGTGTTTCCTAGGAGCAGACATGTAGAGGAGGAGGGAGGGTGAGTGAGTCACAGAATGACCTGGACACTGGAGAGCCAGGGGGCTAGACAGCAACAGGAAGGAAAGAGGCCCAGGCCTAGATCTTGCCCAAACTGAAGGCTCCCTTCTGGCCTGACTTGCTGGTTGTAGTCCAGCACTCTCCTTTCTTTGTTTCATAGCATGAAGCCTCTGACATTTGGCTGGATTTAACAGGACTCAAGTGAAGAGCACACTTTCCAGCTTCCCTTGCAGCTATGTGTGGCCACCCACCCAGGTTCTGGCCAATGGGATGTGAGCAGGAGTGATGTGCAACTTCTGGCTTTAGCCTTTGATCCTTCTTCCCCTTTCCCTCTACCTGGACCATGGGCATGAAGATGATAGCCATTGTGGTCCAGATCAATAAGAGCCACACCCAGGATGGAGAGGTCACAAGATGGAAGGAATCTGTTTGTCCTCCTCCCCCAATGGAAGCCACCATGCTGGTCCTAAACCATGCCCCTTGGATGGTTACATGAGAGAAACAAAATCTGTCTTAGGGTCTGTTTGTCATATCAGTACAATCTTTTTTTGGTCTTTTTTTTTTTGAGACAGGGACTCCCTGTAGTCCCAGCTGACCTGAACTCACTATGTAGACCAGGCTGGCCTTGAACTCACAGAGATCCGCCTGCCTCTGCCTCCTGAGTGCTGGGACTAAAGGCGTGCGCCACCACACCCCATATCAGTAGAATCTTAATCCTAGTTGATTCACTTAAGAAGAGGCAGAACCAGCTCCAGGACCACCCATGCCCTTTCTCCACATCCTTACCTTGGACTCCCACTCCATGCCAGCCAGGGAGATGGCCAGCAACACCGTAACAGTGACCACGCCGATGATGCGGATGTCATTGATGGGGTCCACAATGGGTGTGCCATATTCCTGGGGGGAGTAGGCCAGCTGTGTGCCCTGTCTGCACCTTCACTCTTCTAGATGCCCCCACTTCACTTAGGTGCCCTTAGATAGCAACATTGCCCCCAGGGTCTCCCAAGGGCCTGCTGCATGAGCCTGGATAACCTATTCCTAAAGGCAACAGGTGCCCCCAAAGAGGGATCATGGGGATGGTCTTCACTTAATGAGAATGTCATTTTTACCCCTAGTAAGGAGAAATGGCTTTGGCACGTGATAGGGAAGATTGGGCAGGGGGAGGAAGGCCTGGCCCAGTGTGAGGAACAGTGTGAGGAGGCTGGCTCACTCCCTCTGGCCAGGGCCTGGCCTCTCACCTGGAGCAGGTCCTGTACAGTCTCTGCAAAGCCCACTGTGTGCATGGCCACACCCACAGCATTGGCGAAGGCAAAGATGAGGCCAATGGAGCCCCCCAGCTCTGGGCCCAAACTCCGAGAAATGAGGAAGTAGGTGCCACCTAGCAGGGCCAGAGCATAGAGGCAGAGAAAGGAGTCTGAGCCACAGGTGGGCAGAGCCAGGCAGAGGCTAAAGAGGGGTAACCGAAGGCCACAGGGTGGGAGGTAACTAAGCCCCACCGAGTGCCCACCTAGAGGCACAGGGGCCTTCTGGGGTTTCCCAGGGGTAGGGTGGTGGTTCAGAGACCCAGGGCAAAAGCAGAGAGCTGAGGTGAGGAGGGCCCCAGGGAACACACCTGACTTGACCTTGCCGTTGGTGGAGATTGCTGAGATGGAAAGGCCTGTGATGGATGTTACCATGACGGAGAGCAGGATGATGAGCCAGGTCAGCACTGTGCAGGAGTGGAGGTGAGTGCCCCCAAACCCAATCAGGGTGTTTTCTACCTGAGGAGCCCTCTAGTGCATCCCCCTATGCTCCATGTGGCCTGAGCCCCTTTCCTTCTCTGAACCTTGGTTTTGTCTTCTGAAAAACAATGGCTCTTAGCTAGAGGCAGAGGCAGAGTCTGCTATTCTAGCAGTAGGAAGCTGAGGTGGGGGAGTGGCCAGCCTGGGCCCTATGATGAAAACCTGTCTCAAAACAAAAGCAAAAATGAGGCTTGGAATGTAGCGCTAGCATACACAAAGTCCTAGTTCGATCCCCAGCATCACATAAATCAGGCATGGTGGCCCACACCAGAAACCCTAACAGTTGGGAGATGGAGGCAGGAGGATTAGAAATTTAAGGTCATTCTTGGTTACATAGTGAGTATGAGGATAGCCTGGGATGTATGAGACTCTATCTCAAAACAAAACCCAAAACAGCACTGGAGAGATAACTCAGTGTTCAGTTGGTAGAGTGCTTGCCTCATAAAAAACATAAAAATGCAAGCGGGGCATGGTGGTGCATGCCTTTCATCTTAGCATTTAGGAGGAAGAGGCAGGTGGATCTCTGTGAGATCAAGGCCAGCTTAGTCTACATAGTAAGTTCCAGGACAGCTGGGGCTACAAGGGAGAACCTGTCTCAAAAAAATCAAATATACATTGTGTGTGTGTGTGTGTGTGTGTGTGTGTGTGTGTGTGTGTGTGTGTGCTGGGCTTGAAGGCAAGCATCTGTAATCCAGCACCAGGGAGGTGAAGACAGGTGGATCCCTGGGAGCTCACTGGCCAGCTAGTATAGTCTAACTGGTGAGCTTCAGGGCAATGAGAGATCCTGTCTCAACAGAGGTGGACACCAGAGGTTGTCCTCTGGCCTCCCCCCAAACATGTACTCATAAGTACACACACACACACACACACACACACACACACACACGCACGCACGCACTCACGCACGCACGCACGCACGCACAAACGGTCCGCCAATACGAGGTCAGGATGGGCTTTGTCTGTATCATGGGACTCCTGAATAGGCAGGGAGCTCACATGCCAACAAGTGAATAATTGTCAGGCATAGACGGGAAAGTGCCTGCCTTTGATAATAAAAACAAAATGATCGCTATTGTGTTCTGAGCGCCTCTGGATGCCAAAACCTGTGCTGTTTCCCTGCGTTTTGTATACCTTATGGCTCTGTGAGGCCCATTTTACACATGAGGAAACCAAAATTCAGAGAGGTTTAGAAAATTCCATAAGGCCACATAGCATAGTACAGAGCTAGCATCTGAACCCTGGTCTTCTACAGTCTAAGTTCTCAGCACAAATGCTCCACAACAGAAGTTGGCTCAGAGGGGTTAAGTGACTCACTAAAGGCAGAGTCCTCAAAACTGCTGCCACCACATCCAATGGTCTCTGCCACTTTCCCTGCCCCTCTGTCACTGCAGGCATCTGAGGCTGTGCTGGGGAGGAGCAGGCCTAACCTGGGGTCTCTACAGCTTAAAATCAAACCTGCTCCCCAGCGTTCTCCCCAGACCTCAAGCACACCCTCCCCCTTCTCCAGATGGCACTCACCAATGCCAGCCTGTGCAGTAATCCAGGGGAGCCGCAGGTAGAGGATCACGCCCCAGATGTTGAGCATGCATCGGATCTGAGAGGACAGTGGAGTCAGAGGCTCCCTGGGGGGGCCAGATGCCCACAGATGCTCAAGGGCCTGTCCTCAGGGTTAGGAAATACCTCCTCTTGCTGGTACTGCACCCCTCCATAGGCTCAAGCCTCCTGGCTCAGAGGGTTGGAGGGGAGGCCAGCTTTTCCTCCCACCCCCTCCTGCCCCACCATCAAGTCTGGAGGATGGGCTGCAACATTACCACCACTCCCTCTGTTCCAAGTCCAGAACCTTGTGTCTGCCAGCTCCAGCAATGGCCCTGGGCAGCTGTTGGCCCAGGGCCTGGTATTCAGGAAGTGTCAGCAAAAGGCAGCTGAGCCAGTGCCCCACTTAGAGCAGAAACCAGAGCTCAGGTTGCTTCCATATTTAAAGCAGACAGAAGCTATGATTGGGACTGAAATTCCAGGTGGGAAGGCCTCATAAGGCCTTTGACCCTGTTAAGTTCTAGGGTCAGGTAAGGACATGTTGGCCTTCACACCCGAGGAGATTTCTAGGGCCTTCAATCTGCTGAGATGATAAAGCAGGACCTGGAGGAATGCTCCATCTCTGACTCTGAACCGCCAGGGGCTTGGGCTTGGGTTTGGGTTCCGGTGGAGAAACGGTCATAGCCAGTTTTCAGAGTTAAGATCAGAAGTTAGCCTCCTGCCTCCCAGGCAGAGCCAAAGTCTTCTCTACAGCCTAACCCATCACCTCCATAAACTCCATAGTGTCTTTCAAAACCAAAGTCACTTAATTCTGTACTATCTGAAGACTTAGTGTTGCAAGCTACAGTAAACATTTCCTTTTCCATTCCAATGTATTTGGAAGGGGAAGTGTGTTAGTTCTGCCCTCTCATGGCTTGATTGGGAATTTCTTCTGCTAGCTAGCAAGCATTGATCCAAAGACCTTAGCATCTGTGAACTCATTTTAATGTTCACTTTACAAGTAAGGAAACTGACACAGAGTGGTTAAGTGACTTTCCCAAGGCTACAGGACCAGTGAGTGGCCAAGGAGAGATCTCCATGATTGGGTCTTGGCCAACAGCATAAATGAAGGTTGGGAAGCCTAAACCAGATGCAATTTGAGGTCACGGTGCTGATCTGGAGACCAAGGTCCAAGCTGGGCCCTAGGTCTAGCCTGGCCACTAAGGCCTGTGAGTCGGACCTGAGCCTGGATGGGGCTCCATCCCCACAACCTTTGGAGACATCAAGCTCCAGTCCACACCCACTCACCATCACCCCCTTGACCCAGCCAAAGCGCACGGGCTCCCCAGGGCTCTTCTCGCTGTCAGTGCCCACTTCATCCTCCACGAGCCCATCAGTCAGCTCATGGCTTGGTCGTCCATCAAAAGCCAGGGCATGTAGGTGGCTGCCTTCCTGCTGGGGGCACAGAGACCAGCAGAAGTCAGGCAGTGTGGTAGGTTTCCTGGTTTGTACCCTTAGTGACTATTGCTCCCTTTGGGGCTTTCTTCCCCTTCTGCCCAGGACCTCTCAACATCGCTGTTGGAAGAGCGGGGATGGGATGGAGGGGGGGGGTATCTGGTCCTCTGGGGATTTTGAAAGAAGAGGTCTAGAGTCCTGGAAGATAGGTAAGTCAGCCCCAGAACCAAGAATGATTCTGTCCAATTGTCAGTGAGAAAGTGAGGTCACACACGGATTGTGTCCCAGCCCCAGCCCTCCAGCCTCCCAGATAGCAAAGCCAGAGCACTGATTATCAGAGAGAGCCTGCTCTACTCCCTTCTGCTCACTCTCTCAGGGGTCTGTGATAGAATGTGTGAATTGCAGAAGAGCCACAAGCCTCATTAGGGAAAGCCATAAATCCCTTAAAGTGTCCAACTGGCCCTAAATTGGCAGCCTGGCCTTGCTCAAGCCTTATCAACTGGCCACTCCCTGGAGTGAGAGACAGAGACTATGGAGCCCACCTGTCTCCTTTAGTGCTATAGACAACTCACCCACCTGTCTGAGAAAAGAGACCCTCAAGGACACCAAATCCAGGCACTAATTCAACTCCCCACAAAGTGCAGCTGTGTCTCACAACTTTCGTATAAAACCCCCTGGTTTGTCTAGTTGTAAAAGGCTGTTCCCGCGGACAGCCTCTACCGCTCACTGTATCTTCTTTGATTAAAGGAAGATCTATTCCTTGCCTGCTGCAGGTCTGCCTCTCTTTTCTTGTTTCCTACTCCTCTATCTTTCCTTTTATTCTCCAAAAATCTAAGTCTGCTGGGAAACTCTGGGCAGCTCTCTGGCAACTGCCCTATCTTTGGGTTGACGGTGACTGGACAAGGATCATTACATGTGCCCTGAGCTTCACCTCACCGCCATCCATTGTTTCATTTGGCTATCTCAATCCTTGAAGAAGATGCTCAGTCACCTCCAGAGCACAGATGACAGAAATAGGCTCAGAGATGTCACGTAATCAGACCAAAGTCACACAGCAGGGAAGTGGCTAGTCTACTGAACTGGTGCTTACCTTGAGGAAAGAATGCAGGTCGGCCAGAGTGGGCCGCACCTTCCGAGGTTCGCCAGGCAGGGCACTGTTAGCATAATGTTCGTATGCAGGCACCACATCAATGGTGTTGTAACCGAAGGTGCGCATGTACAAGGTGCTGCCATGTGTCAGGTGGCTGGGCTGGCTGCTGTCACAGGCAGTCAGTGGGGGCTCATCACCCCCCAGCAGTGTGCTGATGGTGAAGCGCCCACTGCACAGAGCATCCCCAGGTATCTCTGTCACGGGTAGCTCTGCCATTGTGGCTCTGGGTGTCAAGGGAGGGGGCCAGGGTCAGCAAGGACACCCAGGGTGGCTTTATAGGCTGGGCAACAGCTGTGAGAAGGCGGGAGCTTGGCCCAGACCGCCCATAGCTGGTGAGCAGGGTCCCGGCTAGGGTGGGAGGTGGAACTCGGGAACTGCTGTCCTGCCCTCGTTTATTTAATCACTGACATAGGGGCTGGTGGCCCAGGAGGGCTGTGCTGGCCAGGCTCATTGAGTCTTGCAGTGGCTCTTCCAAGTCTAGGGCAGCAGATGTCTCCAGCCAAGACCCCAGGAAGGAACAGTAACCAGAGAGGACCCAGAGAGACCCTAGAGATGGACTATTATGGACTCACCATTGCAGATTCACAAACCTCTCATTGTAATACAAAGTGGTTTTCTTTCTTAATTCACCACTTTGAAGGAATAAATAGCATTACATTTTAGAAGGACATGCATATAAAAAGGAAGTCTTCCCTCCAACCTCTTTCCCCCAATGTCTCAGTGTCTTTCCCTGATACATCTCAGTATATAAGCCATTATGACAATGGTCCTGGAACCAGACCTGCGGCCACTACTCAGCAGACAAACCCCAAGGGCTTAGTGCTGGCCAATGACCTCCAGGGCAACCAGGCCTGGTGTGACACCTGAGTCATGCCTCCCTAGGCTCTGTCTGCAGGGTCACAGGTCACAGAGCCCAGCAAGATCACATTTTCCCTCACTGGAGCCATGAATGCAGTGTTCCCTAGCTCCTACAGTGGGAGGTCTGGTTACCAAAAACTCCCAAGTCATTGTAGGGACAGTGCCCAGGGATATGAAAGAAGGGACCAGGGTTTTGAGACATGAGTTAGTGGATGCTCGATGTCTTAAACAATGGATGTATGGTCCCAGCTACTGTAAAGGCTCTCAAGAGTTGGTCCCTATGTTGATGCCTCCACCATAGTCACCTTTTCCCCCAAAGGCAGGTGCCCAGTGACTGATAGATATCAGGCAGAAGGGCCTGGTACCCTGCCCTGCCTCTGAAGGGCCACCCAGAGCTCTCCTGGTTCAGCTGAGGTTTGGGACCTACACTGCAGCCCAGTTCCCTCTCTGGTCAGCCTCCCGCCTCTGCCCTCCCAGGCACATTCCCTGAATGTTCACCTCTCAGCCTGTTTCTATGATGCGGTGACCCAGAGCTTACAAGAGGACTGGGGAACTCTTGTCACTCTCCAACAAACCTTTACCAGCTACCCCACATATGTGTGGCAGTGGGAGCCAGGGACACAGGGATGGGGCACTGTGACCATGTTCATGATGCTGTGGATTTAGTACGGAGCTAGGCATAGAAAAAAACCAGACTAGCTGTAGGGCAAGCAGACAGCTGTAGGAAAGAGCCCCTGGAGGAGGGTCAAGATGTGGACAGCTGGGGAAGTCTTCCTGGAGGGGGCTTTTTACCTGCCTTGCTATTCTCAGAGGCCAGAAGGGTGGAGGTCAGAAGGCTGCTATTGGTTGGTTTATGTTCCAACTCCAGTTCCCTCAGAGGAAAGCTGGAGGGACACATCGTCTCTCCCACTTGGGCCCTGCCTCTCAAAGTCCAGCTAGGTCCCCTGTTCCAAGGTACTCAGAGACCCTGGGACCTCCATCAGAGAGTCAATACTAGTTGTAGCTTTGGAGAGACCTGGGCCAGAGGGTGGCCCCTCTGGTGTGTGCAGATGGAAAGTCAGGCAGAAGGGGCTGGTCCCGTGGGTGCTGAGACTGATTACAATAGCAAATCATCAGAGTCACCCTGCGAGCTAAGAGGCTCTGAGCTCCACCAAAGGGTGGGCAAGTTTTCATACCTCGGCAGACTTTTGGGGGGCGGGAGGTGTTTTTTCCAACTTCTTTGAATGGAAGCCCATAAAGGTAGAGATGCAGGTCTTTTTTGTTCCATGGCAATTCAAGCAACTGAAGCAGTTCAGACAGGTGCTCAGTAAACACCTGCTGGATGCACAGCCGAATGGAACCAAGGGGGGCAAAGCAGCTCTGTGGAGACCACTGGCTGGTGGGATTACATTGGGATAGGGGCGCAAGGGCACTTTGGGGTTCCCCCAGCACTGATTCTGCCTCTGTGAGACATTAAACTATGAGATGAAAACTCACAAAGGCAGAGACATGGGCCCCCTCCCTTGCCAGCCCTCAGCAAGGCTGAAGGCGTGAAGCTAAGGGCTCTAGGCCAAGGACTGGTCAGGGTCAATTTCTACCTTCTCTGCATGGATGGTGAGATTCATGAGGCAGTCACTCATTCCCTTCCACTAGGCCCTTGGGGCAGATCTTATCTCTGGCTTTTAAACTGCCAGCTTCCTGGCAAAAATCACAAGGGCCCAACATCCCCACACCATTCCAACACACTGTGCCCGGCAGCTGTGGAAAATTCCTGATTGTGATCTTAGGAGGGAAGGGCCTAGAGCTGGTTTCCAGTCAGCCAGGAATAAGAGATTGCGACCTTGTTGGGTGACTTTGGGTATATCACTTCTTTCAAAGCACCCTGGCCTGTGTCAGCAGCGTGGGACGGGAAGCTGCTTCCAAAACTCCAGTTCTTTGGATTCGGGTGAGATTTAGGCAGGATCCCATGAGGGATTTATCAATAGGACAAGCTGGAGGCTATCTGACACTACCAAAGCACAGACTTTGAGAAGGGAATTCTTGTGATTGGATAGAATCCAGTTCATCTTCAGAGAGGTTCTTCCTGGTGGGAACACAGTACTGGGTCACACACTCTCTGCTCTCCTGAATTTGGCTTCTTAGAGGACCACAGGACAAGTGTCCCAGGAGCCCCCAGGTCTGAGAGTCCCTGTACTCTGAGCACAGCTCTGGGATTGGCCTTAAAAGTTTCTATTCTGTTGTTCTCTGTGGGCCTTTGAGCAAGTATCCTGACTGGGTAAGCCTCTGCTACCACAGCAGTAAGACAGAATAAAACCTATACCAGGGGCATTCACCTCATGCCTACCCAGCCTCAGCCTGGCTCTCAGGAAGAAGAGGGCAGGTAAGGACAACAGAGACTGGGGGGGTCAGAAAAAAATCCCGGAGTGAGCACACAGAGGCAGGGGCTGAGCCGTGAGGACAGAAGGGCCTGCTGCAAACCTAACTTGAGCCTGCTGTCTTCACAGGGCCTCTCTGCATCTATTGTGCTCCTCCTGTGTACCAGGCCCTGAACCTCATAGCCTGGCCTGGTAGACAGTCCAGCAAAAGCATGCAGCTGCCAGCAGAGGAGGGGCCCTCCTGGGAGAGCGGAGCTGAAGGGGAAGGTGGATAGGGACAGGGGAAGAGGTGAATGGGCTGGAGGAACAGGGAAGAAATGGTGGGGCAAAAGGCTGAAAGGGGTCTGTTTCTCCATTCTACTACATTTATTATGTGATTACCACATACTATGCCCTGTGCTGGGCAAGGGAGGCCCCCAAAACAAGAAGACGAAGCCCTGCCCTCTGGGAGCTTACATTCTAGAGGGAGACAGACAATAGACATGTAACTGTTAGAATACAGCTAGTGACTGTGCTGAGGAAAACAACTTTTTCTTATGTAGGGCTGTTAGGTCTGAGGATGAAAATCTTGAGCTGACCAGGGGCCACCAGTATGTGAGCAGATACTGCAGGGTGGGGGGTTGGACAGGACAGAGCCTGTGCAAAGACCCGGGGACAGGAGTGTGGTGTGGGCTTCCAGCAGATCAGGGTTGGAGCAGTGGGACCAAGTAGATGGGGTGTGTGCATGGAAGAGGAAACTCTGGCCTCATAGACCAATGTTACAAGTTACATGCTGTTATGTCATAGTCAGATTTTGTCAGATCACTTTGGTTGTTGTGTAAAGAATGGACTATGGGAGACCAGATAGGGGCTGCTGCAGCATGCCAGTGACCAGGCCGGGAAGGAGCTTTGGGGTGGCAGGATGGTTGGGTATCCTGAAGACAGAGATGACAGCAGCAGCATGTGTTGTGTGGGGCCAGGGCTTGTGAGGGGCGTGGAAGAATGGTAGTGTGTTCCTGAGTAGGAATCCCTGACAGGAAGGGCCTTAAATAAGAAGCTTCTTTTGTTCTGGGTGTCTTGGTGGCAGGGGCAGCAGTGGTGTGGTGCATAGGGCAAGGACCAAGAAGTGGGGCCAGGGAGATCCAGTAGGTGCCGTGGCAAAGGTCAGGCAAGACTCAGGAGCAGTTCAGCTCTGAGCCCTCAGCTTACCCGGCTCACCCCAGCTCACATGGACCAGTCTCTCAGGAATGCTGATTCTGGGGCCTCCCTGGAGGAGAGGAAGGGGGAGGGCAGTCTGGCATGTATCTAAAGCTTCCCAGGCAATGAACTGCTTGATGGAGATGCTGTGGGCAGCTGAGAGTCATCTTTTACAGTCACCCCGACCACCCTTTCCCCAAGTCCCTGTGTCCTGAGGTCCCACGAGGCTTGCCTGGAGAGGATGGGTAGGATGCAACCCTGGTGTCGTGAAATAGCCGGGTAAGAGGATGCGCTGCTCGTCGGCCTGATTCACAACACCAGCTGCAGCAACCATACCAAAACTCCGATGCTTGTTCCTGGGGGCGTGGCTCCTCCGGTTCTGAGACAGCAGAAAGCCGGTGCAAACTTCTTCCCTGACCAGACTTCTGCCCTGGGCCAGAACTGCGCAGAGGTTGAGGGCTGCCAAGCATGGAGGCTGGGTCCCTGCCCACTAGGGGCTCACAGACTTGATGACTGCAAGGAAGAGGGGCAGCCCCAAATCCTACAGTGCAGGAGTGAAGCAGGCAAGAAGTACCAGACCCTGGCCAGCCCTGGGAAGCCAGTGACAGGGCTGAGCCTCTGGGATTCTCATGGAGCCTTCAGGGCATGTGGACAATCCTTCTACACAGATAGTGTTAGCACAACTGCACACTAAGGCACCTTGAAGCTATGGACAGCTGATTCAAAAGGAACATGTGCAGACATTAAGACATTTTCATGCTTAAAGGAAGGACTCTTCTTTTCCTTCATGAATAGATTTTCTAAAAACCTGTTTGGTCACCATTCACCCCAGATGTCACCAAATGATATTA